CTTAGGTCATCAATAAAGTTCTGTTCCTTTTCCCAAATTCCCACATTATTGTATATACATTGTTTATACATGTTTATTATGAGACACATATAGAATGAAGATAGGAATTAAGGGGTGGGGTTACCACTCCTTACAGGCCTGAACCCTGTAAGGTAAAGGATGTCCAGTCCTTCCTAGGATTCGCTAACTTCTATCGGCATTTTATCCACAAATATTCTGATATTGTGGTACTGCTGACCTGACTCACCTGCAAGGGAGTCCCCTGGGTGTTCTCTGATGGCTGCTGCATGGCATTCCAATGCCTAAAGCAGGCCTTTACCTCTGCCCCCATCCTAACCCATTGGGTTCCCAATGCTGCAAGCGGGAGCCGTGACCAAAACTCTGAAGATGGTAGGAAAGCACTCTCACTCACTCCCCAAAGGATTAGGGAAGAAAGTAGGGGCTAGGGGTGCAATGATTGACAGGTCCATGAAATCAACTAGGGGGAGAACTCGAGGTAACACTAAGTAATCTTCAATTTCTTGTCATGGTGGATTTCCCTAAGGGCCTCTGTTGCCCTTACCAGTCAAGTGGCCACTCACAACACACTAAGTACACAGACTTCAAAAATGGAAGGAGAGGGGGGAATCGTCTATTCCGTTTCAATCGCTACATACATATACCCATACAACAAACATACAACTTGTGAAAAGAGTCCGAAATATATGGGTTTGGCTGAGCTAAGCCTCCACCAACAATGGTGGTAAGGTTCAGCTGCCATTGGCTTAGAATAGAATTCCGAACAACAAAAGAAAATGAAAAGAAAACACAAACTTCCTCATACCACTCCAAACACCTCGTCAAAACTCCGTCCCTTTATTCCATTCGACTCTCCTCATCCATAGCTTTCTAATGATACCGACTTTGTGAATTTGGTGGAGATTTGACTGAGAACGGGAATTCTCAGAAATGGAATATATATCTTGATTATCCATGCACAGGGAAACTTGGACCAAATAATATGCAATAATTCCAAGACTCCTCCAATGACTTCTTTAGCATTTGTATCATTTAACTAGCCCATATTCTCTTGGAATTTCACTGAGACTAGCTTGCACGTGAGCATCTGCATAGTTTATATCGTCCCATGACTCCCATCATGCCCCAACAATCAGAATATCTCCACAACCACTGAGCCGATTAGGGTGAAATTCAACACTGAGTCTTTGGGCATTTTTGTGGATTTAATGACTCCAAGATCGTCCTCTTCCGACAACTTTTGACCCTGTTCTCATGGTTGGTCAAGTGCACAGACTTTGCACATGAGGACATCTCAGGTTGAATTTCTCCACCAAACCTCAACCGATTCCTTCGCGGAAAGGCTCTTTCGGTTCGTACAAAAACCCTCTTTCTTTTTTCTTATTACTCCTCCCTATAATTCCTTTTTCCTAATAATGTACAAAGGCGAGTGCCCAATTTTGACATATTTGCTGCATAAGGTTCCATGAAATTGAGCACACCTGTTATGCACTCCTACAACATGCCAATCATCATCGAGACAGATGCCTCCGACTATGCAATATCAGGCATCATCTCCATCCGCTGCCCAGATGATGAGATTTGCCCTGTTGCTTTTTGGTCAAGGATGCTGATGGCATGTCATGGCCCCACAAAGTCCCCACCCTTCTACCACTTCTATCATCTGCACCCCCATTCTTGCACCTGTTAATTGCACCCATTAATCATGCCATTGTCCATCACTTAGCGGTGCCGATAGTGATTCCCGTCTACAGCCCTGTAGCAGCGCCTCCTTCTTTCTCCTGCCACCACTTGAGTTCCTCAGCCATTTGGCTGACACCATTTTATTCTTATTCATTTGCTTAACTTACTAGCAGTCGATATTGTCGCCGCTGATCTGCTCCTTATTGACATTCGGTTTATTCCTTTATTGACACTTGGTTATTCCTTTATTGACATTTGATTTATTCGTATATTGACATTCTGATCCGCCACCATATTGGCACCTAGATTGTTGGCCTATTCATTCTGCCTCCCAACTTCACCATCCTCTGTTCCAGTCATTTCTTCTGTTCCATTTCCCTGGTCCTCATCCCCCTTTTAGTTTTGTCACACTTACCATTCCGCTCCCATCCTGCGCCGGACCAACCAGCCCCTTCTCTGTTCTCCTTTTGTACTTATACTTGTAGTTTACTGTCGATGTACCTTAGTTCGAATATCGACTAGAAATCCCCCCCAAGTCTTCTCACCTCTAAGCTCATCCCTAAGTTCCAACTTCGTCTGAGTAAACGTCACTGCAAGGTCCTCCCACTACCCTGAAATATGGGACAGCCTTGGAACGCGTGGCACAACGCTCCAGCTGAGTCGTTGAAGCCGAAGAAGTCCCACCTCCTAAGACGCCTTGCAACAGAGTTGCACATTAGCTAAGTGAACACTCACGCCACCGCACTCCACTCTGCTTCCTGCAATCACCTCGAATACTGTTTCTGACACGGTGCCGGAACTCAATTATGACACCCACAACAAAGAACTTCTAGCCATCTATGAAGCCTTTTGAGGGTGGTGGCACTACTTAGAGGGCTTGGGAAACACCCATTGACGTGGTCACTGACCACAAAAACTTGGAATATTTTTGCACCATGAAACTCTTGACCCACCGCCAGGCACAGTGGTCAGAGTTTTTATCCCAATTCAACATGGTGGTCCGTTTCCACCTGGGAAAACTGGGTGCGAAACCGGATGCGTTGACAGATGCTGGGACGTCTACCCCAAAGAGGGGAATAGGGACTACACTCGCGTTAACCCTCAAAACTTCAGACCGGTGTTCACACAGGAGCAGCTCGCATCCTCCCTAAGAGCTACATACCTTGTCAAACCTGTCCTCCATGCGAGTTCCCTCATTGACGTCGATGCCATCCATAAGGACATCATCACCGCCCTTCCCAACGACCCTGCTGTTGCGGACTATCTCACTGCCATGATACCAGAGGATTCCCGTTGGTCTAGGGACGCGGACGGCCTCGTACGGCTAGACAACCGGATCTACGTCCCAGATGCCAACGACCTCAGGCTTCACATGCTGAGGTACAAGTACGACCACCGGCCATAGTTTCATCGTTGCCCGACAACGATGTTACCAGCGCCCCAGACATGGGTGTTAGAATGTCTAATTCGCACATAGCGCCATAATACACAATCAACGAGCACCTTTACTTTTGAAATCCGTTGCAACGTACTAAAGACCGGATCCGCAGGACCAGGGCCACCTAAAGCCCATCCCGCGCCTCCCAATGGGGGATAGAGGGATGTCTGCGATGAGGGCCGATACCCTCACACCCCTGTCGTCGACTCCAAGCAATGGCAGAAACGATGGGAGGTTGTCGGTGAGAGGATGACACGATGCAGGAGGCATCGACTTGCAGGGATAAAGCGGGCGTCGGTTGCGAGATAGGGGGGAAGATGCCTTTGTCGTTGATCAGCATGGATCCAGTGGGGCAGCACCCGTCGCATGGCACTTGACATCGCCGCGCTGTGCCAGTTTTGACAGGGATATCACAGCGCAGGACGAATTTAATTAGTCAACAGCGCACCCAAAATGCGTAATCACTAACCCATGGGCCGATCTGTTTACAATGGTACAACGCCCTCCATCACGATAGGTTTCATTCCTCGAACATAGGGTGGAGGCGAGGTGTTTCTAGCCACTGATTACAACCTTCCCGTACCACGTGTCAAAAAAATTCGGAAGTCAGAAAGCAGGTGTTTCATCTTCTAGCTAGAGTCGTGTAAATAATCACACCTCCTGGGACTGTTGCGACTTCTTCTGATAGGGCGATTAATTGTAGACTGGTTCCCGGAGCAAGCTTCCGCGAGACTAAACACCAAACCCTGAGTAACGCTGACACGCATGACTGATCTTCGTTATCTGGGGGCCCAACGGAACACAGTGCGGGCAGGTAAATAACATGTATCTCGGCGACACTTGTGCCATTGTACTCCGTACGTCCACATGCGTGTTCATAGCTATATTCCATGCATATGAGACTAATTAAGATAAGGTGGTCCCCTAACTAGTAGATCGAGTGTGTGCCTCAACATATGATTATTCGCTTTGAAGCGATCTCTCTAGCACCCAGAATGAGTGTTTGATGCAACTTGTCCAGAGGCCGACAGAAATAGTGATCAGCGGGCCTCCCAGAGCTGAAGGTAACTCAATTGTGATACAAAATCACCACGCATTCTTGTACGCGAACGGACTGGTTCTTTAGCACAAAGGCCGCAGGTTCGGAATTGTGTTAATTGCAAGCCTGAGCCAAACAAGGCCGCTTTCATCCAAGGGAAGGGACTGGGGCAACAAACAGCCGAGTTGATCGATCGCCTGATCTGAGCCAACACACCAAACCAGCGACGACATATGTACCCGCAACCCGCATACACGTCGGCGTAGATGAAGTTTTTGTCGGCCTCGGCCATGCGGTGGCGAACAGAAAAACCCGATCTGTCCTGATGTTTTGTTCTGGACAGTTGAGCCGCAAGCTGCTTGGTGAAGTGGGCCAAAGACCCAGGGGTCGAAACAAGCATTAACAAAATTCAAATTAATCAAGATTAGCCCCACCTCTTTTCAGCCGGGGAGAGATGAATCCAGTGTACTGCGACCAGCGTAGGGCCAGACTATACATGATGCGACGATGAACAAGGTAAACTCTTGAGATAACTAGCGGGATGATGTAATCCTCACCCAAGCACATATCTACTGCTGCGCTTAAAACCTGTGTGAGCGGGACGTCAGGTGGAGTCGAGAAATCGAACTGAAAGTGAATTTAAAGATCCGATACAACCGCATATATCTTCTCTTACTGTAAGTATATCATCTTTGCATATCGCGCAATGGGGCATCTCCATTCCAATTGCCAGAACCTTCCGACTCTGAGCTGCTGGTTTCTGGTTTATCAATATAGGGCTTATCGCAATGTGCATCATGCATATGAAATTCTAGGGAAACACGCAATATAAGTGTCAGAGACCCAAGGTCCGAGGGTGTTCACTATCGAGACATGCCTGCCACTCACCGAACACCTTGCCGCCACTCTCAAAGAGCCGTCCCCCAATGTGAAAACTGCTCTGCGGCTCTGTGACGCCTGACCTCATACTCTTATGACACCATGAAGGCCATCATAGATGAGTGCGTTGTGAACGACTATGTCTGGAACGCACTTCCAGAGTCCATCATCTTGCCGGGATGGAATCAGATGAAAAAGTCAGAATTCATCGAGGCATTCGGTACCGCTTGGTGGCCAGCGATGAAAGGAATGCAGGTGTGCAGTCCGATTATGCATGTGATGAGTGCACACCGAGAAACTTCTCGTTTAGATGATCGTCTTAAACGTGTGGGAAACGAAAATAACGTAATCCTCTACACAAAGCTGGGGGTGTGTCCATTCATGACTATGCTTTTGCACTGGAGTGCTGAATAGTCCCTAAATGTAGCCTTCTGCCGTCTCAGCGGAAGGAAACCCGATCGCTACTTCATACGTACACAGGTTCCGCTTCAACGCCAGCGGGAAAGTCGTGGAGCAAAGGGATTTCCTAGATACCAAATTCATACATGATTTTTGGTGGTCAGAGCCCCAGCGAAGCATAGTAGCCGAAGGAAGCCCTATAACAGCCGGAGGAAATCGTTAACCAAGACTTTATTCTACTTTGTTTCCAGTCGATGTACACGGTTCAACGAATATGCAATGCTTTTGGCCAAATAACAATGTAACATTTGACAATCATCGGAGCACCAGCCCACTCCTGAGGGTTCATCCCACTTGAATCAGTTTTTCGCAGTGGTAGAAGTCCATCGAGTCACCAGAGCGAGAACAGCGCGCTTCTGAGGTTCAAAGGAATCACGAGCCGAACCGGGGGGAATAGTTCTTCGGAGGCAAATCTGAATTGTGTTGTTTACTATTCGACATCTTCATAAACGTCGGTTGAGCGAGGTGCTGCTGAATGTACGCCTTCAGCGGCGCCGAACAACCAACCAATAAGCCGCTCAGTTTGAGGTTGTTATAAGGCCGTCACTCAGGTTTCTTGGCAAAGCTCCTGCATCCGAGTTGTGAAAAGAGGTGGTATGTTTTCGAGTCCGGGAACGTTTAGGAGCACGAGCCTGAGAGAGGGTCGAGCACCGTCCCAGCGAAGGTACTTAGCCAGTGTAGGGTTGGGTTGTGTCTGCACTTTCTGCAACGTCGCCGAGGATCCTGCAGTAGCTATAATAAAGGAGAGGTGGTGCTACAATCCCAATAGGAGGAGACTTCAGGACTAGAAGACAGAGCCCACGAATGAGTCACATGCAGCACGAATGGCAGCCATGAGAGATGGGGTAGCATGGCAAACCAACAGTTGATGAAATTACTCATCGAGAACCGCTGGAAAAAATGGAGATAGGAGAATGTCACGAGATTCTTTGTGTCTTCAAGATTGGTCACCTTCGATGGGAACACCCGAAGCCGATGTACCGGTGCCGTCGAGCACGACGGTCCACCGGAGCCTGAACGGGCTGTCAATGCCTATGGGAATCGCACGTACACATTCCACCGTTGCTCGAAAACCGCGAATTATCATTAGTTTCGCGACGAAAAACTCGCATTCGGTCTCCTCTCGCGTTCGCGGCACCTGTGTCGAGCCTGCGCTGCGTTGATAATCTATGGTTCGACTTCGCCACCAGTGCTGGGTAACCCAACAAGCCTACGGTCGAAGTTAAACAGCGCGAAAAATTTGTTTTACGAAAATTCACAGCAACACGAGCGAGGCCTGTAGCGTGCAAACGGCTGGGTCGCGAGATGTCACGGTTGTCAGCGTAACATGGAATGTATAGCGCAACACCTTCCGGTGCTCACGGATGCCCACTGAGTGAAAGCAGCCATAACACCTCATGCAGCTCAGGCATCTTGTTTGATTTGGTGCCACCAATCGGCCCACGGAACAGGTTGCCATCATCGTTGGGCGAACTCGTGTCCGGGCACACCGCAAAAATATTCATGGTCGGAAATCGTACTAGCCAGGGGCATTGTGGTTGGGCTGGGAGAATGGATCTATTTCCGCAGGTGCTGGTGTTGCTATTCTTCCTGGCGTGAGAGATTAGTTTGAGGTCATGGTCTCTTTCAGCAATATTCGAGAAAAGGAGAAGAGTCCCCGACTCATGATGTTGAGAGCACCGGTGGTGTGCATTTGCAGCAGCTGCTGAGTCAAGCACACGGCAATTTCGTGATCAGATCACTTCAGGGTGGGTAGACATGGATGAGCAAAAACAACATACTACATGAAATCCACTCACCTAAGACAACCAAGGTCACCTAAGACACAGAGGTTGAAACATATGTTTATGTTTATGTAATAATATTCGCATCTCGATTGAGTCATTTGTGACAGCATTCATCGCCAGGCCTCCAGCCTCTGTGACTGCTTAATATTAGGCCGTTGTGCGTTTGGAGCCTTTATTCCTACAAGTATGATTACTGATTATTTGATGAAGTTGGCATTGAGTTTGCAATTTACTGCCCAGAGCGAACGGCTGTTGCCGGTCTTCCGGCCCTTGTCGCTGCTAAACACTAGAACAGTTGCCCATGGCCACTTCCATCACTCTTACCTGCATGGCGGTTGACCGTGGAAGAAACCCCCTCGGTACCGTGTTTGTTATGGATGTGTCGCCTCGCGCATTGGTTAGCCACCTTCGCAGGGCTATCAAGTCTGAGAAATCCCACCAAATGGATCACCTGGATGCAGACCAGCTGGTTTTGTGGAAGCTCTCGCCACCAATACCAACGGGGGTTACAGAAGCCGAAGTCGCAGCTTTTAATCAATGGATCAAAGCAATTGAGTTCCCTGATCCTGCACGCCGCGAGGCGCTGGAGGGGAACGGCCCCGTGCAGGTTCTCAGCCCTGCACAAAAGATATCCAGATACTGGCAGGAAGGCCCCGAGGAAAGCTATCTCCATCTCGTCGTCCAAGTGCCTCATGTCGGAAAGAGGAAGCGTGAGGATCCGGGTAGGTCTTCGCGACTTTTTATTTGAAGGAAACATTTCTCATTTGTCTGCAGTGGATATTTCAAAGAAGTTGTTGGATAAATGGAATGTTCCACTCACATTTATGCCTAACGCTACCGATCTGAGTATCCATCTGGATGCACCTCTTGATCCCGAGGAGAAAATCCCCATTTCCGATCTAGAATGGCGGGACCTCCTGCAAACGAACCTGATGATCCCTAAATATCATTGCTCTTCAGATGACCTTGAGATGCTCTTCATCAAGAATGAGGATGAGAGGGCTAGATTCATCTTCCCCATATTACAGGCAGCAATCCTCCGGACTCCACCGGACTCATCAGGTACTGAAGATTCGTTCATTTCATTCTGGGACCGCAACATCCTGGATATTCTCACGACGTGTCTTGACGGGCCCAAGTGGATACGCAACAGCAACCACGGCACGCATGCTGGGTCTTTCAGGCCTGATGTTGGTCTCCTCTTGCAATTGGCCTGTTTATTCCGGGGGGAGGAGAAAAAGCCATCGTTTTCTGGAAAACATCCTCGTCAGGAGCTCGCTGAAAAGACTCGATGGGCCTATGACCCTGCTCCGTATGTGCTTGGTATGTAATTCTTCTCCCTTAGTACCTGTTATTGACCCACATGTTTAGGCTACTATGCCGTTGGTGCTGATGTCGCACTTGTAGCAATCCAGTCTGCCCAGGGGGGGGACCAAATCGTTTTAAAAGACATTCTAGCTGCAGATCTGTCAACAATGCAAGGACGTATCAAAAATGCGGCAATGATGATCAGAATGGTCAAGGTTCTCCGGGCATTAGAACGTACTGTTGGAAAAGCTGTGGATGCTGATATGTTGACATTGGAACGGTGAGTATCTTTTGTGTATCTTGTTTGCATTGAACCTAACCCCGAGGTTAGCAATGATGGAAAATCCATTGAATTTTTTAAGAAGAAGATATGGAAGAAATATCGGGCAGAAGATGAACCAAAAGTTTCCTTTCTTCAATCTATCTATGGCAAACTCAAAGCAAAAGGCGTGCCAAATGTTGACTCCCTTACAAGAATTGAATTGTCCCATCCAGAACATGGTTGCTTTGTTGAACTTGAACCTCGAGGCGATGCCAAAGGTGTGGGGTCTGCTGAAGATGTTAAGAATGCGGTCATCTGTGTCCTTGAGGCCCTCCAGGTAAGTATCTGTATAGGATTATTGATTTGGGTTCATGGAGTTTGTAGGTATCCCATGCTAAACCACAGGTGTTTCATCGAGACATTTGCTGGCCAAATGTCATACGGAACATCACCAATCACAAGCAGTGGTTCCTCATTGACTGGGAAGATGCTGCCATCCCTCCAACCAGGGCGGCCCTTCATTTACGTCCTGATACACATGCACCACAAGCATTCAAGGATGACCATGGTGCAGAGGTTGACATTTGGGGTGTTGGGAGACTTATTGCTGCAGCTGATGATATGTTTGGTGTTCCTGAAAACCTCCGTTCTCTTGGACAGAGGATGGTAGAGGGTTCTGTTTTATCAGCTGAGCAAGGACTTAGAGAATTACAATCACTTTGAAGTCCTTTTTTCTTTTCTTCTTTTTCCAACCCCACAGTAATCAGTTTTGCCAGCGATGCAATGTAATTTTTTTGGCCTGCTCTTTGAAATGGCAATGAATAGGGTGAAGATCCTGGTCATGTTTATGAAGTTGGCATGCTGGTGTCAGATTAGACTTGTACCAGTCAGAGTGTAAGCAGGTTATAAGTTGTTGAGTTTGCAAGTGATCTCGCAATAGTCAAGTGTTGCCTCACACTCCCAGTCCATCAGATATACACTGTATGAAGCTATCTTATCAACAGGGGAGTAACGGCTTTTTTCCTTTATCCCCTCTCATGTAGTGAAAGGGTCACTTACTATTTTGGGGATGGTAATGTTCTGTTCCCCCGTTCACCTCAGGCCTCAGTTAGTCTGTCTAAACATAAGCTTTGATGAGCTGTATATTCAACAGGGTAGAGGTAAAAGGCTACCAGGCCTTTACAACTACTCCAAGGTATATATATGTAATTTGCATATCTCGGCACAAATAAATAAATAAAGAACAGCATCACTATAATGGGAATTATAGTGAAGTAAGGTCAATCCCTTACATGTAGGTTATATATACGTAATGTAATTACATGTGATTAGTGCGGCTTGGGACTGCATGGTACAATGAGAAAATGAACTATCATAAACTGTCATATCCCGGAATCCCGACCCCGCACACTCCCACCACATCACACCTTCCTAACAACTTCACCATCCCCTACACCTTGCCTCCCCACTCTCCAAGTCACCTTCCCTCCTGACTGTCTCAGCTCCGGTCTGGTTGCGGCACACCGAACCTTGGCCACTCCCATCCCGGAACCTCGGTCCCGAGTCGGAACATTCGGAGATCCCGGATTTGCTCCGATATCCTGACGGACCTCCGACATCCCGTGACATGCCCTTAAACCCTTCCTCCACCCATTTCATTTATTTGAGTCACCCAACATCCTTCGGATACGCAACTCCGCTTTCGGAGCTACCCGCATCCTTCGGTGATCTCCCTCACGTTATCACTTATTAGTCATCTCCCATTCTTAGCACGACTACCTTCTTACTACCATTCAGTCGGCTAACCCCCTTTATCCATTTGTCTTCCC